AGGGCCTTGTACATGCTAAGCAAGTACTCTGCCACTGAGCTACGTCACCTCCTATATAGATGCTTTCTATCTTTTAATCCTACAAGATGCTCTTATGATTATTGCTATTACTGTTTTGAACTATTAATATTCATTAGATGGCTCTACATATTCACCATTCCAATTTTTTAAAAAATTTTCTTCTGAATTTCCAATCTCACCCTGGATCGCTTTGCCTCTGACACTTTAATTTCATTTTGTTTAGTCATGATTTTTCTGGGTTTTAGTGTATCTGAGAATGTCCTTCTTTTCATATTTGAAGGACATTTTTGCTTGGTATAGATTTCTAATTGCTAGTTATTGTCTTTCAGCACTTTGAAGATGATTATATTTTGGGGGGGGCTTCTGTTGTTTCTACTGAAAAACATTAGCTATAAGTCTTACTCTTGTTCCTATGAAGATAATTTGTCTTTCCTCTGGCTATTTTGAGTCTTTCTCCTTTCCTTTGTCTTTGGGTTTCTGCAGTTTCATAATGAAATGACTAAGTTTGGTTTTTTTTAATTTACCTTAGTTGAGGTTTGTATACTTGAATTTGTGTATGTCATTTACAAGTTTTGGGAAATTCTGTTATCTTTTTTAATATTACTTTTGCCTTATCCTCTTTCTCCTCTCTGTTAGGGACTGCAATTGCTTTTTGTGTTAAGCTATTCATGTGTCCTCTGCATCTCTTACTGTATCTTTATTTTTTTCCCATCAATTTTGTCTTTCTATGCTTCATTCTAGACGTTTCCTTCTACCTTAATTTTCTCTGCAGTTTGCTTAATCTTTAAAACCGTCCAGTGGTTTGTTTTTTTTTTTTCAGTCCTGGGGAACTCAGGGGCACCCTACTACTGAGCTACATCCTCATCATGGAGGCTGGCTTTCAACTTAGGATCCTTCTGATTCTGCCTCCCAAGAAGCTAGGGATACAGACATGTGCCACCATGTCTAACCCAATGGATTCTTAATTTTACTTATTTTTTAGCTCTGAAATTTCTAGTTCATCATTATTATAACTGACTCTTCTGATTCTGTTTTTGGTATTGAGGGTGTTTTGTTTTGTTTTTTTAAATCTGGGCACTTTCTACTGAGCTACATTCCTAGCATTTTTTTTAATGATTCCAACTTAGTTTGCTTAGGGCCTTGCTAAATTGCTGAAGGGTGGCTAGGATTATAGGTATGCACTACCATGCCCAGCATCTGGTTAAATTCTTTTTTTTCTTTTTTTTTTTTGTGGTGCTAGGAATTGAACCCAGGGCCTTGTGCATGCGAGGCAAGCACTCTATTAACTGAGCTACATCCCCAGCCCAACTTTTAGCTTATTGAACTGACTATAGTTAAGTTCATATCCTGAGCTCCAGTGAAATTATTTGTATTTCCTGTCATTTTTGTTCATATTTTCAAGTATCATTGTATGTCTTGCTCTTTTTTTTTTTTTTTCCTTCAGGACACACCATTAACAAATCAAATTTGAGGGATTGGGATGATCTGAAGCTAAACTATAATTCCTGTGAAGGCCTACTTCAGTTTCATCATTTTTTTTTTGAAAGTCACTGACTACCAGTGTCTGCCATACTTAGCTTTGAAAATCAGTCAAAAGTAGAGACTATTAGATTCTCAGTTTCCCCTAGAGACTCATTATATATCCTAGAAGAGAATATAGTTCTTGGGCCTATTTCCTTGTACATATTGGCTTGGAAATTCTATCTGGTTAATTCTCTGATGCATTTAAGCAGATTTTAAAAAGTAAAGTTGAGACTAAAAATATATACTTTGTTAACTTTTTCTGGTTACCCTCAGTGGGAAGATTGGTCTGAATTGCCTAATCTATTAGTACCAGACTCAGAAGTCCTTCCTACCTATTTTTTTTCCATCTTCAAAAATTTGTTGATACTTTTTATATTTATTTTTTTCCTCTTCTATTTTTTTAATCTCTGTAGGTTTATACATTTAAATATTATCCTCATTTTAATGTGATTTTGGAAGGAAGACTAAGTAAATACAAACACATGGCCTTTCTACCCTAATTGGAAGTCTCCAACTTTTTTTAATATATTTATATTTTTAGTTGCAGGTGGACACAATACTTTTATTTTTATATAGTGGTGAGGATTTAACCCAGTGCTTCACGCATGCTAGGTGAGCGATCTCTCACTGAGCCACAACCCCAGCCCTCCAACTTCTTAAACTGGATTCAAAGCCCATCTCCAACACATTGTTCAGTTGGTGATCCAAGTAACTTAATTTCTTTCCCATTTTAATTTAAACTAAGTCATTTAACTATTATTGTATTTCTCTACTTCCATTTATCACTAGCAGAATAATGTACTTGTGTTTCATTTGATTTGCCTCAACTTCTTATGTTCCCAACTTACCCACATCCAACAATTCAGTTTCCATTCTATCATTCATAGGACTGATGACTAACTTATATAGTAATGGCAGCAGCATGAGGTGGTGTGGTAAGTCCTTTTAGGAATACCAATATAAGATATGAAATATTTAGGGATGGGGATCTAACTCAATGTAGAACGTTTGCTTGGCATGTCCAAAGCCTTGGATTCAATCTCCAGCACCCTGCAAAATACACATATAAAACATTTAAAAAAACCAATTATTTGAAAGTGGTCATCTGGTTTCTATCATAGGTAATCAGCTCTTCTACTGTAGTGTGAAAGCAACTGTAGAAAATATATAGGCACTGCATTTAAAAATATTTGACTGTGCTCCAAAACAACTTTATTTACACATACAAGTGGTAAGCCAGCCTGGCACAGTGGCTCATTGCCTAAATCCCAGCAACTTGAGAGGCAGAGTGAGGATCCCAAGTTCAAAGCCAGCCTCACTAACTTAGTGTAGCCCTAGTTAACTTATCCTGTCTCAAAATAAAAAATAAAGAGAGCCAGGTATGGTGGTATATGCCTGTAATCCCAGCAGCTGGGGAGGCTGCGGCAGGAAGATTGCAAATTCAAAGCCAGACTCAGCAGTTTATCAAGGCTCTAAACCACTTAACAAGACCCTGTCTCTAAATAAAAATTTAAAAAGGGCTGGGGATTTAGCTCAGTGCCCCTGGGTTTAATCCCTGGTTACAAAAAAATAAATTAAAAAAGATAAAAAGGGCTTGGAATGTGGCTTAGTGGTTAAGTGCTCCTGGGTTTAATCCCCAGTATAAGCAAAAATAACCAAAACAGCTTCAGCACCATAATGAAAGCACAAATAACCGGGATGGGAGCAGACTTCATGGATCAGCTCTGCCTTTTATTCAGCAGCAGAGTCAGGCATCGGAGGGGCTCACTTTTGGTAGAAATGGCCACTGGTTACAAGAGGGCTTGAGTTTTTATAGGTTACACTGAGAGGTGACTTAATAATATTGAGAGAATGTGTCAGTTTGGGCACTCAGGCAACAGGTTGTGAGAATTTGAAACTTATTTTTACTGGACAAGGATGTAGGGTAGAATGTTTATCTCTTTTCTCCAGGAGTCACTGGGAAAGGATTAATGTTTGGCTGTCTCCTCTGAGGTCTATAGTCACTGGAAAGAATTTACTGGGAAAGGATCAATATTTGTCCCTTCCCAGGGACTGCCATGTTAGGATTGATATTTGCCTCTTTCCCAGGGATTGTCTTGTCACTGGGAAAGGATTTACTGGGGGAAGAATCAATGTTTTGCTTTCTTTCTCCTTCCCTCCTCCTGTCTTGGGGGTTGCCATTTTCCATATCCTTCACCTGGTACCCCCACACCGAAATAAAAGGGCAAGCCAGATGTGGCCAATAGGCCATTGCTTGCATATTTCTGTCTTAGAGCAACCCCAGTCAATTAGTTATACTATAATATACTACAAATAAGTCAAAATGAATGCTAAAGAATGTTCACATAACACACAGGAAGGCAGGGGAAAAAGGAAATAACAGAATAAAAAGCAGACAAGACAAATTGAAAACAATGAAATGGCATACTTAAATCCTATCATATAAGGAATTACTATGGTAAACTGAAAAATGGCTCCTCGAAGATGTCCCTTTTCTAGTTCCTGGGATCTGTGATTGCTACATTATATGGCAAAAGAGACTTCTGGTGTAATGAAGTTAGATTTTGAAACAGGGAGATTATTTTGGATTATCTAGGTTGGCCCCTTTTGAGGGCATACTCCTAATATCTGGTATAGACATGTTCAAATATAGCTGCTCTGTGATTTTTATTATTTTTTGAATAGTGAAATAAAAAGACTAGAGTTTCTTGGGGCTGGGGTTGTGGCTCAAGTGGTAGTGCACTTGCCTAGCATGTGTGAGGCACTGGGTTTGATCCTCAGCACCACATAAAAATAAAGGTTAAAAAAAAAAAAGAATAGAGTTCCTGTTCTCTAAGGGCTTTAATGTTATCAAAAAATATATTTTTCTTCTCATCTAGATTCTTGAGATCCTGGATTTAGTAAGTAACTTTTATAATCACAATCCATTTGATATTGTGATTTGGATTTTACAGCAAGGTTGTATAGGGGTGGGGTGTGATATAGTGATAAAAGTTGTGCTATCAATTTAGATTATCTCCTTAAGTTATTAAAAATGTAAGCAAGTCTATCAAAGTCTGTCCATGCAGTTTAGGGAATATGATTCTCATGTTTTACAAATTTTATCTTCTATAATAACTTTAAACAAATTTTTTTGTAGTTGTAGATGGACAGAATGCCTTTGTTTATTTTTACATGGTGCTGAAGATTGATCCCAGTTCCTCAAGCATTCTAGGCAAGCGCTCTGCCACTGAGTTACAACCCCAGCCCTGTAATAATTTTTTAAAATATTTATTTCTCAGGTATAGATGGACACAACACAATGCCTTTATTTTTATGTGGTGCTAAGGATCGAACCCAGGTCCCGCCCGTGCTAGGCTAGCGCTCTACTGCTGAGCCACAATCCCAGCCCCTGTAATAACTTTTTAATACCCAAGATAGGAAGTGATTTTTAAATCAAAATGTAATCTATTTAGGAGCAGGAGCTGCATTATCCATTCTAGATGAATTTCTTGAAGAATCTTCCAAACTGCCATCTGAGTCAGGAGAACTCATATTGTCTACACAATTTCAGGATTCAAGTATTGACCCCAAACAATCCAACCTGTTTTTCAAGGAGATACCAGAAAAAAAAGGTAACTAGGAATTAAGACTTCCAATTGAAATGGGGGCATAAACAAACTAGGCAAGGATGAAAACTCTCAGGATTATATAAGCAACAATGCTGACTTGTTTGAAATTAATATTGCTTACATTCTTTCAGATTATTCTAAGCTCTGAAGTTCAAAAACGGAGGTGTAACTTCTTTAGTAAGCAAGGATTTTAAGCTCACCCAAGTAGTTCACAAAAGACCTTGACTGACTTATGAGTCTTCATTTTCAGAATATCTACAAATTGTGTTTCACATTCAAGGAGATCCAAATACTTTAAAACCCTTTCATTTAATTGTGACTTGTCCTTGGAACTAACAGTGATTAACGTTTAGGACCTTTGAGTTCTCCTCTTTATGGGCCATTGCTGGAGACAGTCTACTGCTTTCTAGATGATGATCTTTTTCATGTATTATTACATAAGAATATTTTCCCTACTATGCTAGTGGGTCTGGAACTTCTGATATTTTCCCTTTATATCTAATCATCTATCCTTTTTTTAATATTTTTTCTTAGTTATTGATAGATCTTTATTTATTTTTTAAATTTATTTATACATGGTACTGAGAATCGAACCCAGTGCTTCACACATGCCAGGCAAGTGAGCTACCACTGAGCCACAGTCCCAGCCCTGATCTTCTATCCTTTTAATATAATATTTTCAGAAACACCAAAATTTCAAGATTCATCAGCTATTCTGCAACCTGCTCCTTATTCTGGTGTTTCCCAAACTCCTGCTACAATCTTCATGGAGACCATACGCTTCTTGATGAAAGTCAATGCTGTGCAGGTCAGACTATTTGGAAAAGGACATTAGATGGAAAGACTTTAATGAATTACTTTTTATATTCATAGTGTTTTCTTTGTAAGCTTAAATATGTATGAAGCAGAAATCAAAAAAACTTTTTTTGAGAGGCGCTGGAGATAGAACCCCTGGGTGCATACTAGTCCTGGTGCATGCTAGGCACATTCTACCATCAAGCTATATACCCAGCCCTTCAAATATACTTTCAAGAGCACACCTTAAGCCCAATAGGAAAAACATGCAAACATGAACCACTCTCTGCGGATGGCACTAGCAGACCTCACTGCAAGTCTCCTCCCTACTGTAGAATACCAGCAGAGCAAAGTCAGACTCTTTAAGTATTTGCAGCCTGATATAACTTTCTTTGGGGAATTAATGTATGAGGGCTGAGGCTTCATAGGAACCTTCTCATACCTTTTTTTCCTTTTTAGATCTGATCAATTGAAAACGGATGCATAGTGCCATATGGGGAAGGGGTTAAAATATTAAATTATTTTTATCAATAAAGCTGGGATTAACACTGTAAGTGTTCCCACATTTAACTTACCCTTGCAGTCATAGGTGTAGCAGCTGAAGAACTGCAGCCTCCTCCCAGAAAAGAAGCACATTCTATGAGATCTACCCTACCACATGTCAAACAAGAAGCATATCCATGAGCAAAAGATATCCCAGTACAAAAGATAGCAAGATCCGGGAATCAAGGGATTTGGCCCTAATCTTAGCACATTAACTCTTCACAATTAGAAACAGGCTCTCTTTTTTCCCAATTAAATAAGTCATTATTCCCCTTAGGTCAGAGAGCCAAAAGGCAAGTAGAGAGAACAACTACACCCACTATCCTCACCCAGTATTTTCCTAAGAAGGTAAAAGTATCAGTGGAGGTTTTATATTGTAGGCTGAATGGGAATAGACTGAGAATACAAGAAGGGTTTCCCTGTGCTCAACATCTGACTTGTCAAATTTGCAGCCCTTTTGAAGTGTGAAAAACAAATAGCTCCAAATACAAGATGTGGCAGAAACAGATATTTGTTTTCAGGTCCTAGAGTCTAGAATCATAGAGAGGCAAGATTTGCCTCACCATGCGTTTCCTTATGGTGACAGCTGTCTGTTACTTCATGTGTAAATGGGATGGTTGAGGCAATGCCTTTGTCTGCTGCATAATAAACACATTCTAAAACTCACCTCGTATCATGACTAGCAAGATCAGAATTGTGTGATATTGCAGGTTATTCTCTTGGAAATATCTCCATTTGGTGACCAAGTGAGTAGTGGATAATGGAACATGAAATATACTGAATGTTTGTAATTCACTCCATGTCTCACCATGATTATCCTAGAAGTACAGTGTGTGAAGCTTCTAGAAATGTGGCTTACTGGTACTTTCTTTATATAGTATGAAAAGGCAAAGAAAACCTACCTGCAACCCTTTGAAGTTGAGGATAATCATTTCATTCTATAAGATGTTCATTATTGGTTATTATCAGAGACAGAATCCTTCAAATGTGAAAGCTATGGGACTAATGCAGTGCAGCCATGTACATGTTCCTTATGGTCTGATTTCATTGTAGTATGTGCACAGAGTGCTCGCACATGAGCTGTTATGCCCTCAAGGAGGCCCCAGCTGTGAGTATTACTTGGTGCTGGCCCAGACACACCTTCTGAAGAAGGACTTTACCAAGGCAGAGGAATGCCTTCAACATGCAGTCCGGCTGGACTACCTGGTAATGACTTTTGCAAGAAGCTCTGGTGTGGGGGAAGGAGTGAGAAGGCCTTACTAAAGTTAAGGATGCCTGCTGGGCATTGCCAAGTACACCTGTGGTCCCAGCACTTGGAAACCTGAGGCAGGAAGATGAATTAAGACCAGGAGTTCCGGGCCATTTTGGATAACACAGTGAGACCTAGTCTCAAAAAATAGTGGTTATGGGCTGGGGTTGTTGCTCAGTGGTAAGTGCTTGCCTAGCACATGTGAGGCCCTGGGTTTGATCCTCAGCACCACATGAAAATAAATAAATAAAATAAAGGTATTGTGTCCAACTACAACTAAAAAATAAATATTAAAAAAATAGTGGTTACATGTTAGAGGTAGATTTTTGGTGACCAGGGGTGGGTCCATTGGCTGTCAGTAAACTCATCTATATATACTAGTCCATTTGTTTTCTTAAGTAATCATGAGTTTTGCTGAGGGAAGAGAAAAGGAGAAAGAGCTCTTTCACAGATAGTGTTTACCTATTTCAAGTTTTTTAGACCTGCTTTCTGCTTGGTTATGCTTGAATGTTTTTCTTAATATTTACCCCAAAGACAAAATGGTTTTGAAGAATACAAGAAAGAAATGAGACAACAGACCTAGAAAAATACCTTCCAGTGGTGTGAAATGCTCACAGAATGTTAAACATAGGTCACTAATGTACTTTTAAATATCACCTCATCCCATTTTACTACTTGTTGTTTACTTTCTCAGAACCCTAATGTCTGGGGCATGAAAGGTCATCTCTATTTTCTGAGAGGAGATCATGCTGAGGCCAAGGCATGCTATGAGCGAACCATTAGTTTTGTATTGGATGCTTCTGAGATGCACTTCATATTCCTGCGACTGGGGCTCATCTATCTGGAAGAGAAAGAGGTATAGCGGAAGGATAGTAATCATGTAACTTAAGCCATGGTCTGGGACCTGATATAGTTCAAATATTTATATCTTATAACCAGTATTATGATAATGAGGCTTTTATATCCAAAGGTAAAGACTGCCCAATTTTTAACTCCTAAATTTTGGTACATCTGTTACTGCCATAAAACCAAAAGCTAGTTTGCCTTCTCGTCCCCACCCCCAAGAAATTTTACTCCTTAATCTTAAGAGTATCCTATTTTTCCATGAGGTGGTCCCTGTCTCACCATGATCATCCTAGAAGTATAGAGTGTGAAGCTTCCAGAACTGTAGCTTAGTAGTACTTTCTTTCTATAGTACGAAAAGGCAAAGAAAACCTACCTGCAAGCCTGTAAGAGGTCACCTTCATGTCTAACCTGGCTAGGAGTGGGAATCGCCTGTTATCGGGTAAGAGAATGAGGTCTTGAGACCAAGCCCATGCACACCAATGACCTTGATTCCTTGGTTTTCTGTCACACTGGGGTTTGTGATGATGGCAGGGTAGCAATCATGGCAGTCTGCTGTAATGAGAAGCCCCTTTAAAAAGCTGTTCATGAACTGAAGATCAATGTAATCTAGAAAAAGAAAATATCCTTAAAAAATCTACAAAAATCTGAATCAGGAAGCTATATAAAATTTTTCACATTATTTGGTTTAGGTACTCTTTAGTGATATTATCTGTGAGAAAAAGATGATGAGGGAAATGAAGAATCTACTCAATTAAAAAATCAATTGATAGCTAGGCATGGTGGTACACACTTATAATCCCAGCAGCTTCAGAGGCTAAGACAGGAGGATGCTGAGTTCAAAGCCAGCCTCAGCAATGGTGAGGCACTAAGCCTCAGTGAGACTGAATGGGACCCTGTCTCTAAATAAAATACAAAAATAGGGCTGGGGATGTGGCTCATGGTCAAATGTCCCTGAGTTCAATCGTTGGTACCAAAAAAATAAAAATAAAAAAATTGATACTTATTAAGCATTGTGACCTGTTTACTGTAGGAGCTATTACAATTCCCAGTAAAAGATTCTGCTCTACCTCTCCTAAAAATTCGATGCTCACCCTTCCATCCTGTCATCCAGTCTTTAAAAGAGGCATATATCTTATAATTCTTGTTTAATTTCTTCACATGTATTTTTAATCCCATTTCTCTACTGTTTTCTACTCTCTAATTTTTTTCTTAACTTTTATCTTCCCCATATGTTTCCTTTTTTATTATACTACCACCACTTGATTGTTACCTTAACAAAAGAATTATCTCTATTCCCTGTTTCCTCTTCCTTATTGGTATTATGTTCATTATGGAAAATTTAGAAGATACAAAATATGAAGAAAAAAGTTTGCATAAT